GTTGTTGTTGTTGTTGTTGTCATTGTTGTTGTCGTTGTTGTTGTTGTTGTTGTTGTTGTTGTCGGTGTTGTTGTTGTTGTTGTTGTTTCTGTCGTTGTCGTTATTATTGGTATTGGTGTCGTTGTTATGGACTTAGATTTGACCAATAATCCAATTGCAATTGCGGCAATGGCGATGCCAACAAGTAGAAACCCCAATATTGAGAGAAACAAACAACAAGGGGAGCATATGTAACAATAACCACCGAAAAGTCTAGAAAAAGCGTTATACAATTATATAAAGGTATATGAATAAAAGACCTTCGTCTTTTGTGTTTGTTCTCTCGGTTCTGTAATCGAGGAGTATTATTCACAGGAACACTTTGAATTAATCGTCCCAAAGAATACTTTCAAAGAAAAAAGTTTAATGCTTAAAAAAAACAAACAACTCACTGAATTGAGATCATGAACTTTAGAAGGACTTCGATCAGGTGCATATGCAGCTAACTGAGGTTCGCCATCATTGGATAAGATCTTGCATGCTGTGGTTGATAAATGAATATTGCCTTGTTCTACAGCTGAAAAGCTAGAGTTTCCTTTGTTACCTCCATCATTATCCCAATCATTGGCGGTTGACTATAATAATCATTCATATGAAGAAAACAAATCGATATTGTAGTTTTAGACGTGAGGGGGTGTCGGGTTGTGGATGGATAGAATAATTAGATCCACATCCACACTCACACCGATATCCACACTACACCACACACACACTCTTCACTCTGTCATGTGAACATATCCAAAACTGACAACGACTAATGCTTTCAATTTATAGGTATTAGTTTTAGTTAATTTTAACATTATTTTTACTTCTGGTCCGTGTTCTGAATACAAATTTTAGAGACCTAATTGAAATACTGCGTCTAACGTGTCGAACTGCAAATAAACATCTATATGAAGCAAGCAGCACCTGAGCAGCTACGTGTAATTTGTAAGATGCCACAAACACTACCTGAAATGGTAAAGATATTATTTTCAACACTACAGTCATAGCATCGGCTGCCACAGGTACTATCTACAGTATGACAGGCAGTACCTACTATGCTACAGAAGCAACCTGGAATACTGCTGGTAGCACGTGAAATGCTGCAGATATCATGTGAGATACGGCATCTAAAATGCGACAAATACCGTGCTCAACTAGTCCTCAGAAAATTATGGGTAGCATACTCGATCAGTTCTCCCAAACTCACGTAGAATACATATATCAGAATGAACAATAACGCAATCATAGTGCTCAACCTATGACAATACTGCGCTATGGCATTAGTCTTGATAGTTAATGCTGATCCACAAGTATTAGCATCCGCATTATTTAATAATACTGTTAATCATGATTCGACTATCCTAAAACACGTACAATTCTTGAGTGAGTAGTCTGACTCTGTCTCTGTCGGTTGGTATAGATGTGGATGCGATTTTTGCGTCGATGAACTCTACAATTATGCCTACAGTCACAGTTCGTCTTTTCTTTTTACCTTAGTTTCATCAAACTCACTTCTTGGAAGACAAAAATCAATCAGAAGAAACTTATCATTTGCATTTCCCTGTCTGGAGTTTGAATTATGAATTTTTATTCACATAAGCATTATTTTTACCTTCTTTTTGTCACTAATTATTAAATTTTGAAATATTAAATTATTTTTGAATTCAATTTAGATATTTACTTCATAGAAATCGATAGATTGAAGGAAATTAAAAAACGGAGGACAAAGTGAGGGACTGAGGACGTGAAGGTAGAATCCATTATACGGATTTTGGTATCAGCAAGGCGAGTTCTTAGATTCACACCAATATATATAGATATCTAAATCATTTATATCACTTGAATTCATTAAATTTCTTGATTTATCTTAGTTCGTCCTCAATTCCTCGAATGATATGATAATCTCAAGGTATGAATCTATAGTTATAAATATATATTGAATCTCTTCGTTTTGTTGAAGTTTCTAATCTTAGTATTGTAGGTAACGTTGGAGTATATAAATATTGTTTGAAAAATTATAAATACCTCATTATGGTCTGTTCGATGATTTTCTATTGATGAATGACTTTGTTCACGAGTAACGGAGCGCAATGTAATGCTGAGTTTTGATGAATATCGATGTCTCTGTCGAAAAACATCATAGGTATTTTTTTTCTTTATGATATTTGAGAAAAGATAGAAACTTACATGAGGTTGGTGGGGTTGCGTCCGACGATGAAGATAAAGCTTAATGACATGAGGTCGCTTTACTGTGGAACGCCGCTGAGTAGGCAACATTGCTTTTCAGCAATAGATTTCAGTTTTATTTTCACTCACAATCACGAATGAAATCCGATTAGGAATGCGAAGATTGTCAAACGAGCAGTACTGCAAAGTAAAAATTATGATTTTGTGCACGTGCTTTTGTTGATTAGTATGAAAATGAGCTGCACAAGAGGAAAGCTAGGAATTTTATTGCGTTGCATACACACAAGACTCCTACATAGTTACTATTTCATAATAGGCTTCTTTTATATATGCATACCATACAAAATCATTATTCATTTTTTGCTGTAAAAAATCTAATTCCATTGCGATGGTCATGTATTGTCATACAACCGAACTGGAGAAAAGAAAAACATTGCATTCATAATTCAATCAGTTAATCATATAATCTCAAAACAGAATCTAAATTCTAATATAAAAGATTCTACGAGCACTTTTGCAAGCTTCATTTGAATCAGAATTTTGATTTTCTTCAATATTCCATTTGGAAAATAATAAAGTTGTGGTTTCATTCTTGCCATCGATTGTGTAGTGAGAAAAGAAGAATTTTATTAAAATACAACCGTTACTAACAACAGTTGCAAATTATCACATTATATCTTTACAACAGAGATGAAACTGGTCAACCGGCGATCGACGGTGGAAAAGTGTAGGCGATTTGTTTTTTTATTTTTGTTCTGGACTCTTTGCTAAAGAGCATGCTGTCATGTATATTTTCTAGACGATAGAGAGTGAATTCAATGTTCATATCAGTCAAACATGGTGTAGAGCATTTGGGTGAAAACGTAACTCTTTCAATCTGTCTCATTGAAAATATAATTTTTATTAATTCGATATATTAACGTGAAAATACATCTTGACTTTTTTGAATACTGGATTATATATAACAACTTTTGTATTGGTTATCGTATATATTTTTGTATAACTAATCAGAGAAATGTTTTATAGAAAAATTATGCTAACAAAAACAATTGTATTGAGTAATTTAATAAAAAGTATTTGCTCGTT